ATTTGTCTAAAATTTGAAACAAGTGTACAGTTTTAAAGAAATGTTCAAATTTAAAAAATGCATGCCTTTGTGACACAGTTAGTAAAATTATTATTTGGACAATACTGAGCAGGTTTTTCAAATACTCATATCTACCGTTTCTTAAAAAGTAAAGCTGGCGTTGTTATTTTTTTATTTGACACACAATGATGTGATTATCTAAATCCCTAAGCCTTATATCAAAGCTCGGAGTGTTTTAGGAATGCTTCCTCAAGTAAACTCTAAAGGAAAATAAAGGTGTGAAATGCTTGTGGAGTAAATATTTATACATGGCCTTGCATTATTCATATAAATTGTAATGTGATACGTAGTATATGTATGTGGCAAATTTGGAAAGGAATCTCTGTGTCCAAATAATACTTTGATGTGAGTTTTTTACTTCTACTTCGAAAGTATTTAAATTTTCCGTCTCAACAAAAACATTGATTAAAGGCTTATGGGTTAGATAATCGCATTCTTGTGCGTCAAATCAAAAAATAATAACGCCAACTTTTTCAGGGACGGTAGAAGTATGAGAATTTAAAAAACCTGCTTGTCATTGTCCAAATAATACTTTAATTATCTATAAGTGACAGATGTTTAGCAAATTTTACGAAGTTTTAAAAAAATATAAAGTCTAAAGGGATCATAAATTTTCAAAAGACGTTCAAACGTTTTCGTTAGGGTGAATGCCGCGTGCGATACATATAGCGTGGATAGCTTAGTTCCACTATTAGACCGTACAATAGAACGGCTTTCGCGTGAAATATTCGCTTCAACCTCAATTTGCATGTTCTATGATAAGGATGTATAGTTTCATGAAATTATGGATAGAATATGGAATGAGATTAATTTGGGCAAAATCCAGGTCGTGGCACAGTAGGTGGGTCTGCTAGTGAGTCCTGATATCTCTGCCTATTTATTACTCGTTCTTCAAGGTTATTCATTTCTCATTCGCCATTGGGAAAATTGAGATTTTGGCGTGAAGCCGTGACGTGACAAGGAGGGGGGAGGGGGTAGGATGAGCGTGACAATGGCGTGACAATAGGGGTGGGGGGTCCAAAAAAGAGGGCTTTTTGCGTGACATAATTTATGGATCGCCCCTTTCAAGTTACACCAATAATAAATAAATTTTCATAAAAAAAAAGATTTTCAAGGTTGAGCCTTTTTTGAAGCATCCCCTTGAAAGCAGGGTGCCCAGCCTGGGTACAAATTCAAACAACCAACTGGAAATTAGTGAAAACCAGAATTAATAAAAAATTTTACACCATAAAAAAAATAAACCAAAATTTAACCAACATTGGCCACCAATTATCTCCAAAATATTGCAGAATAAATATGTATTGAGGGTATTAATTTCGTGTTCTCGACTACAGAAAAATATAAAGTTCGCTTGATCGCAAAAAGATTTTTATGCGAAAATTAATTTGCGAACTTGCACAGTCTATGTAAATATGTACAAGGTCAGCCTCAATTTCCCTCAAATCATGATGACTTTGGGGAACTTTGAGACTAGCAGTGGCGTAGTTTCTCATATGTACATAAATAATTCTCAATCTCTGTAAAAGTCCTGCCTGGATGGAGAGCATGCACAGCTTTTGAATTAGGCGCATTTCTAATTAATTAGTAATTGATCATTAGGAAGAATGCTTTTCCCGTAATAAATTAGTAATTAAACTTAAATTTCTAATTAGGCCAATTAATTATGTAATTAATTAGAACATTCACCAATTAATTGGTGAGTTTTAGTGATTTTCTAGTTAATTAGTAATTAAAATTAGCACTGGTAGTACTAGTCAATGTTAATTAGTAATTAATACTTAGTTTAAACATGCTGCTTAATTGGATTATTAATTATTTAGATTGACTAAATAATCATAGCAAGGCCTGAGAGTATATTACGAATTCCTTACCTTGATAACCATATTAAGCACACAGTCCATGTGCGGCCCGAAAAAAGAAAAGCCGAATGTTGCCGTCCTCCGAATCTGTTCTGACTTACTCGCCCACCATTAATCATTCAAATCGAATCGGGCATCACCATTGACTTTAGTCACGTTTTTGAAGTTCCATTCAAAACTGAACAAATTATTGAATCCGATTTGATAATCGGTGATGGACATTTTCCCAGTGAACGGTGTGTTCAGGGTGAACTTCAAGGACACGAATAGGTCCTTCAATTCAGCGAAATACTCGTCCTCCCCGACATATCGGTCAATAGCATCTGGAATAAATGGAGAACACTCGTACGAGTTGGAGACGAAGTCTCCCACAAAAAATAACCGTGACGCGTTGATCGATCCCTCAAAGGTGAACTTGTCCCCGGAGAAATTTAGAGAAACGTTCGTCTCAGCGTCACCCAATCCGTAGGCGGTTGTGTTTCTAAAATTTGAATAGATTTATGTATGTATGTTTTGTATTTTATAAAAATTAATTAATTGATTTTTTTGTTAGTAATTAATTTAATTTAATAAATTTAATAAATAAATTTAATAAAATTAATAAATTTAATTATTAATAATTAATAATTAATAAATTTAATTTAATTAATTATATTAATAAATTAAATTATTAATAATTAATTATTAACTAATTTAATTTAATAAATTTAATTATCAATAATTAATTATTAATTAATTAAAGTAATTAAATTAATAAATTAAATTAATCAATTTAATTATTAATAATTATTATTATTATTAATTATTATTAATAATTATTAATTAATTATTGAAGTCAGCTCGGGTACTTTACTTTAAATCAATGTGTACGGAAACACAGTCTTTTTCCTATTTTCAACCAGAGGTCGACGCCGCCGACCTCACGCCGCCGCAATAATGAGTAATTAATTTAATTTAATAAATTTAATAAATAAATTTAATTAAATTAATAAATTAAATTATTAATAATTAATAGTTAATAAATTTAATTAAATTAATTATATTAATAAATTAAATTATTAATAATAGGCTTAAAAATTACATGCGACGCATTAACTAAAGTCCAAATGCACCGAAAAATATGTTTCAGTGCTTCAATATTGATAAGTTTAATTGACCAAACCTTCGCAGCCAGGATGAGGAAAATGTTAAAAAATTGATACGAATCCAATTAATTACGTTGTTTATTCCGTATTGGGCTTGCCGAATGATTCAGGAGGAAAGCTTCACCACTTGTCCAGCTCAGAATTCCATGCCATAATTTGAAAATGCAACAGAGGGCAGCCTGATAGGCCTGCCTAAGTTTCACTGAGGGGAAGTTGTGTTCTAGCAACGCATGCATCTCAACGCGCCCTTCAGTCTCCCATGAGTCATCAAGAACTAGTTTGATGTCATAGCCACATTGGACCCCACCGCCCCTCCTCAAAAGGTAAAAAATACGAAATGCCCTGTTTTCGCGCGTTATAACTCACACCAAAGATTTTATTTTACTCGTACACCATTATACTCCCAACGGATTTCCAAAATCCGAATCAAGATTGAGTTTGTAGCGGGGATTTGAATCAGTGAAAGCATTGTTTTTTGTGCCGGATTCGTGGGTGTGGCGAACGCAAATGTGGCCATGGCGTCAAACCGCTTTGGGGTTCCTGTTGATCCATTGTAGGAGACTAAATAGAGCATATCCAAAGGGCATCAAGATCCGTGAGTTGATAGGACACAACCCCTCCTCCTAAATTACCTGTCAATTAAGAATATCTGTAGGGGAGTCAATGAGCTGCAGCAGAGGTCGACGCCGACAGATTTTCGGCGTCGGCGGTGCCAGTTTTTGGTGAATTTTCGGCGGCGTCGGCGGCGCGGCGTCGCAATGTTGAAGGTATAGGAAATCAAATTTTTCGGCGGCGGCGGCGCGTAAAATTGTACCGTCGTCGGCGGCGTCGGCGGCGTATGGTCGGCGGCGTCGACCTCTGAGCTGCAGTACTTGAGAATGGCAAGTCGTGAAGCTCCCTTCTTTCTGGCAAATAGCCCTCATTGTGCCACCGCCGCTGGGCTGGCTGCCTCTATCAATGAGTAGTCTGGTCACCCCACACAGTACAAAGTACAACCTCGCCTCGTGACATTCTTGACAAACACATCACCCGTAATTGAATTATTAACGTCATACATATCAATTTCTTCATATTTTCCTTATTGTCAACAACTTTTAATTTGGCAATCCAAGCCCTTGACAATGGCCAATTAAATCGATATCAATACTGAAGCATGCAAAACGTCTCTATTGAATGAACTCATCAGGTTGAAGTTTATGCGCAATTACTGTTTAGAATTAGTAGACATGTGCAATGAGTTTGTTGAGATTATGGGAGTGTTTTTTTCAAGCTCGAACGATTTGGAGATGGGATAAAATTACCGAAATTTTGTGCGTGTAGATAAAGAATCCGTAATAATATTGGTGACGCGCATGGGAAGGTTTTGCGCCAAAAGGCCAAAATGTGCGAATTTTTTAGTACGTAATCTAAATTTTTATCCTTCCTCAGATATCAATAAATATTCTGAAAGCCCGGGAAAATATTTGGTCCATTAAAATAAGCACAATTTTTTTCGGCGGTGGCGACCAGCCGAGAATTTGCCCGGCGAAAATAGTGCCGGCATCGGCGGGGTGTGGTCGGCAGTGTCGACTTCTGTTTCAAATTAATAGCGGTACAGTCACGTGTCATACTGGTTTTACTGGATTTATTAAGAGTGTACTTTTCGGGCAAAATTCCTGGGCTCTTACATACATACTTCCGGTAATAAGCACTGTCTTAATTTGCATTTGCTTAATTTGCCATCAGTCTAACCATCAGCATGGAAGATGGAAAAACATTGGTCGGAATTCGATGCTTAATTTGGAGACTGATAGAGTTGTAATTATTTGTTTATCGCAGACAGAAACATTTTGAGACATTCTTTATGTATAGGTCTGTCCGACAAATAACTGTGAATTACTTAAAAATTTATTGTGACACAATTTCTTACAAATAATATCGACATTGTAGGATTTCTAAAATATTTTGTATTGCCAGTAATTTAACCGAACCGGTTGCTACATCAAAGGAAATTAGTGATTTCTTAAACCAGGATGAAATTAGGTTAACAATAAGATTATTTTAAGATGTATAATTTTATTCAAACCAATTGCCAATTGGAAATGTACATAATTTATTATCAGAATTTATGTCAACAAATTCAGCCAACCAAGAATGTATTTGTTTATGCAACCCTAGCCAGGACTGTTCCGCACACGACGACAGCGCCCGAGAGCTCGTCCGAGATTTCAGCCGAGACTGGAACGGTGTTGCCGGAGAGCTGGTCGCTGGGTGTGATGGTCCATCGAAGGACGTACTGCATATCAGGCTGGACAGCCGAGTTTGGAATGGGCGCGTCGATGATGCTGATTGGCAGGCCGTGGAACAATGCCGTCACTCTGAGGTGAAGAGCATCCGAAGCATTGGCAGGGATGACGTCCGCTTCGCAGGCGTATGGATTGCCCGGCTCCATTTCTGCAACATCACCTGAACACTCGCTAATTCGAACTTGGAGCAATTGCCCGTCTCCACCTGCGCAATTAATTATTAAAAATTAGTAAATATTTACTTAGTGGGGGACAGCACTTGTAAAATGAACAGAAATTCAAGTAGTATTGTTACCACAAGGCGTATGGGTGACGATGCCAGCAAAGGCGGCGGCAACAATGTAGACGGCGAAGACGACAAAGACCTTCATTGTTTTTGGATTTTTTCTTTGGATCTGGGTGAAGTTGGATGATTATAATTCAATCGGAGGAAGAAGAAGACTGAATTTTGACTGCACATTTCCCTCACTTTTATACTCCTCTGATCACCCTTGGAATGAATCTGCACCTATTATTACACTGATTAAGTGAATATCTCAAATCAATCCTCGGGTACGAATTGTTGCATTATCGCCGTGATAATCGCGACTGTTATGTACGCTGGTATGAAGTGGGGGTGGACTCTGATCAACAAAACTCAGCAGTGAATCGGGGTTGAATTTTAAGCCACCAATCCAAATGGTTATGTAAATGACGAAAGGATTAAAGGATTTCACTCCATATGAGCGTCACTCATAACAATATTTTACTTATGTAACTCACGGCCCAGGCATTGCTATATTTAGAGTAACATTGGTTTGGAAAATAATTATGTAAGTTTATAATTCAGGTGGGGCAAGGTGCAGGAATGTTATGCGTACATAACCGTTTAGCATGCAAATAACCAATTAGCTAATAAAAACATATATAATACGGGATTCTGTAAATTCCAGTATGTTCTAGTATCAGTCACGTACATGATCAGGGTTCTCTAATTAATCATCAAACTAATCATCTAGATAGCTTCTCGATCCAATTGCTAATTAATTAGTTTAAAATTCGAAAATCAAATTACTAATTACTAAATAATTTTATTAAGGTGATAAAATCACTAATTAACTTGACTAAAATCACTAGTTAAATTTCGAACAAATTACAAAAATTCCGTGTGGACCGTTCGAAAATATGATCTGTTTTGATTGGGACAGGCTGTAGTAGTTATTGTTCTTGTGTGATAAAATTGAATAGCTTGAAGCGATAGCTGTTATTTCTAGAAAAGGTATGGAAAACTATAAACTGTCCTTCCTAATTAAAAATTTAATTAGAATATTAATTAATTAACTACTCGCTAATTACTAAATAATTTGCAGTAAAATTTTCAGCTAATTACTAATTTTGTATTTAATTAGCTAGAAAATTTTCTGGCTAATAAATAATTAGTAATTAATTAGATAACCGACTAATTAGGCAGCCCTGTATATTGGAAATGGCTCTATCGAAGTTAAACCTTGACGCACGCATACATTCGTATACTTGTATTTGCGCACCTATTTTCTTTTGTAATTTAAGGCCCAGGCATCGCATTTGGAATAATATATTTTTTTAATATGTATGTGAGTTGTCCAAGTGGGTCAAGCAGGAAGTTTTGTTAATACACTCTGAATAACTGGACACAATCCGTCTCCCTGTGTAGCTACTTTATGGCTTTATTTTCTGGTGAGCATTTTATCACCTGCAGGAGACGGGTAAAATACTTGACGAGAATAAATAATGATGTCGATTAAATGTCAAAATAATACATATTTATTATTTATACCAACAATTAATGTCAATTAACAAATTGAATTTGTTAATTCTTCTTAAAAAATGATACGATATAGCCTTGTGTAGCATGAACTTGTTTGAAATTCGATTAACTTATAGTTTCCCCGTTTAAGACTTGCTGATGCGTCCAGATTGTGACATAATAGTTTTAGGTCTAGGTCCGTAAAGGTAGAGTAAAATCCTTTAATTGTTTGGTAATTTTCATACTAAATCTTTATATCTGTATATGCATAATCATTTATTAAATTCCTGCATCTTGACCCACCTGAATTATCCACTTACATAAATACATATTTTCAAACCAATGCTATTCTAAATATAGCAATGCCTGGACCAAGAGTTACATAAGTAAAATATTGTTATGAGTGACACTCAAATGAAGTAAAATCCTTTAATCCCTTCGTCATTTACATAACCATTTGGATTGGTGGCTTAAAATTCAACCCCGATTTCACTGTTGAGTTTTTGTTGATCAGAGTCCACCCCTACTTCATACCTAACAGGCGAGATTATCAACGCGATAATGCAACTATTCGTACCCGAGGATTGATTTGAGAAATTCACTTAATCGGTGTAATAATAGGTGCAGATTCATTCCAATGGAGGATCAGACGGGTATAAAAGTGAGTGAAATGTGCAGTCAAAATTCAGTCTTGTTCCTCCGATTGAATTATAATCATCCAAATTCACCCAGATCCAAAGAAAAAATCCAAAAACAATGAAGGTCTTTGTCGTCTTCGCCGTCTACATTGTTGCCGCCGCCTTTGATGGCATCGTCACCCATACGCCTTGTGGTAACAATACTACTTGAATTTTTATTGGTTTTAGATAAAGTGCTGCTCCCCCCCTATTTACTAATTTTTCATAATTAATTAATTGTGCAGGGGGGACGGGCAATTGGTCCAAGTTCGAATTAGCGAGTGTCAGGGTGATGTTGCGGAAATGGAGCCGGGCAATCCGTACGCCTGCGAGGCGGACGTCATCCCTGCCAATGCTTCGGATGCTCTTCACCTCAGAGTGATGGCGCTGTTCCACGGTCTTCCCATCAGCATCATCGACGCGCCCATTCCAAACTCGACTGTCCAGCCGGGCATGCAGTACACTCTTCGATGGACCATCACACCCAGCGACCAGCTCTCCGGCAACACCGTTCCAGTCTCGGCTGAAATCTCGGACGAGCTTTCGGGCGCTGTCGCCATGTGCGAAACGATCCTGGCCATGGTTGCATAAACAAATACATTTTTGGTTCCCTAAATTTGTTGACATTTCTGATCGTACATAAATTTCATTTCTGATTGGCAATTCCTTTGAATAAAATTATACATCTAAAAATAATCTTATTGCTAACCTAATTTCATCCTGGTTTAAGAAATAACCTATTTCCTTTGATAAATTCAGACTTCGGCAATCAATACCCTTGAAAAAAACAAGCTCATTACTGAACGACGTCAGCTGTTTGTTTACTGTGGAACCATTTCCATCCCGAGCTGAGTACATTCTGTCGACTATGTACTCAGTTATTTGAATATTCTTGGAATGTGCGTGTAAATAATTTATGTGGCTTATGCATAGGCTAGTGTTACAATAATTTATATTTATTAAAAAATCTGCTACGTTTTTTTTGCAATTTAATTTTCAACTTAGGAATTAGACTGAAACGCATTACGCAAGTGAAAATTCTCCTACCGTTTCACAAATCCAATTTAATTTCTCAACTTGTTTAAATTTTTTGCACGAATAAAACGAAAGTCCAGTGAGCATTATTCCCTAGATTGGGAATTCAAATTGGACTAATTTATCTATAGCCTAGGTATTGATAAGCTATGGATTTGTGTAACCCAAAATTAATGCTCGCATAAAATTTTATTTAATTCTGTGAACGTCCTCGGTAAAATTGTTCAAACACGTGGTCCATAATAAAATTAATAATGCCTCAAAATCGGACGGTAAACATAAGATAAATAATTTCTAATGATATTTCTCCAAAATTTCTCATCTCACTCATCGCATATTTTACATTTATTTGTTCTCATTTCTTAATTTAATAATTCCAGAGAGCAAATAACTATGGGCACACTTCGATATTTTAGAATTCTAGAATTTTAGAGTTCAAACTCTCCATAGTCGAGTTTTTACTATCTAGCTTTTTTTAACATTTCTAATGAATTTTTTGTATATATTTGAGTATGTAGTACCTATTGGTGTCATCAGGTTTTTTAAATAAAAACTGAATTTTAGTTTGAAATAGTAATTGAGTATTGTAACTTTCCTTGACTATTCAGAATAATTTGTCTGATCAGACGAAATCTCCGGTTTCCTGTTAATTATCTGCGTTTACATTAATACATATCTATAATCAAATTAATTGTGAATCTGACAGATATTTGGAAGGACACAATTAAAATACAAAACATGGTGCAAACTATTTACTTAATTTGCAGGGTGTCCCAAAGACATACATCCTTCCAACGTCATTAAACAGAATTTTTTCTCAATAACGGGACAAACTGTTTACCTGATTATACTATGAAGTGAGACCTTCAACTTTACTTTGGTAGATTTGGTTGCGATAACCAGATCTACATTATCTACTTGCCCGAGACAAGCAATATAATAATTTACATTTTCATTATTTGTTAAGTTCGGTTGACCTCTGAGATTGAGATCAAACCTACACATTAGTTATTAGTTACTTTAGTTAGTTAGCTATTATTTACATACTAAGCGAGACGGTCCACTATAACAGGACGAGCTCCAGCCCAACTTGGGATCATTCGGTTTGCAACCGTGACCGTTGCAACAAAACCCTCCATGCAACCACGACGGTTGCATATCTTAATATATGTATGATCACTAACACTCCCATTCCCTTGAGCATGAGATTTGCTCCCGTGACGCCTGGGACGGGCAGATTGGTTTCCTTTACTTTCGGAAACTAACACTATGAATATTTCGGATAGTTTGTAAGCAATATGAATGATGCTTAATTATAAATAAAACTTTATATTTTCATTATTTAACAAAACTCCCACTGGTTATCCTTCATTTCTTTTTCGTAAGGTTGTTTCCAAACAAAACCCCTCACAATACATATTAAACACATACACAGCTTAAGTTCTTAATGTATTTAACTTGATAAGTAGAAAATACAAGAACTTTTGTCCAATTGGACTGTTTTGGTTATAATCGTTTTATTACAATCAGACTAAACACTAGGGAAATTGGAACGTTTTACGAATGACAACCATGTGAATTATCTGTATTTCTTTCTCTTTTCGTACGGAAACTACTTAACAAAATTGCCACAATGACCATTTCATGTTTCGTGAAAAGTACATTTTTCTCTTGGTACACGAGTCCATGTAGTGGAACTTTTCTTCGCTTAAATACATATATTATAATTAAATTACACTATTTTTGTATACCTCATGTAGTTCGTTTCTCCGTCATGTATGTGTGTAGTGGGTGTTGAACATTGTAGCTTGAAATTTATTATTTTTCGTTAACTTTTGGTACGTATAATATATTGGTAAGTAAAACAATTCCTAGAACAGAAATTACTGAAATGATTACAGAAAACCACAATTACCTAAAAGGTTGTCGCACATCTCATAATATTATGTGGACATGTAGAAATTGCTATAATGTTTCCAAATTTAAAAAAAAATCTTGAGGAACAAACGGGGTCGATGTTTTGTCCATTCTTGTTTTTGACTTTACGGGGCGTCACCGTGAATTTACGGACAAATCCAACATTTGCTGGTACGATTATCTAGTCGATACGATTTGGAATCCTATTGTACATAAAGATAACCTTAACCTATAATGGGACATTGCCTTTGGACTTTTGTGTTTGTTTCGGGCGGATTAATTATTCCGTCATGTTGCAACGAACTATTTCTCGATGCCGACATAACCTTCTTATTCACTCCTGACTGTAACGCAGCGGACGATATCCCATGTTTTTACCAAGCCATAACAGACCGCTATCGTTACACCCCTTTGCGTCATATCCTCCTCTGTCAAACTACATCAGGCTTTCGATATCCGAATGGATCATTGGCGTCTCTGATGGCCTTTGACAAGGAGAAATCTGCACGTGTGAAAGCTATCTTCTTATCTTTAGACGCTACCCTTGGCTACTACCCAAACACGATTTATCTCAAGTGCGAAATTTTGATGAAAATCGCTAGCCTGGAACTTCGCCAAGATTACATTTTTGCTCACATGTCCCGCTCCCGGGATTCTGCTTGCCTCCGACGTCACATTCATGTTCTGGGTACAGTCAAATTGGTTGTTTTTGAAAATAGTGGCACCCACTTCCTTGTTCCTTGTTTATCGTGCAATCCCGTAATTTTATCGCGACTGGAGACAATCTCATGGGAAGGCATTCGACAAACTTGGGATTTCCAGAATTCGGACATGCACAAGTATACCTTGTACCTTCCGGGTTTAGCCCCTGCTACATGTGGCTTGCTTCATGGTGGATTTGAAAATTTGACAGATTACGATATCTGTACCGTGGCCACGATTGCCTTAAAGTATAACCTCACTTTAATCGAATACAAGGGACAAATCCAGGCATACTTTGGGGATACGAGTTTTGGCGTATTTTCAAATATGGACGGAATCAATTTTGAATCAGAATATTACATTTATCAAGTCGTCTTCGCAACCCTTCACTTTATTACTGTGAGCCCCCCACCCTCCTCGCAGGCCAACGGGATTAAGACATTTGTGTCTCCATTTGACGTGGTAACTTGGATTTGCTTGTTGCTCGTTATTCTCGTAGTTGCCGGATTTTTGACCTGGGACGCAAACGCCACCTCATGGCGAGACCTTGCTGGCATTATGTTGGATAAAGTACTCGTCGTAACATTCATATTCCTCGGACAGGTTGGTGAAAGTACGGGAAAAATATATCGTGCAGGAACAACCTCCTTCATCCTGGTCACCTTGTGGTTACTTGGAACTTTCGTCATCATGACGAACCTCTACCAGGGCACGGTTTATTCCAATTTGGCCGTTCTAATCCCGGCCAAACGTCCCAGCGGGGTGCACGATCTTATCAATTGGGATATTCCCATCGTAGATTTGGAATATCTTTATAACTACAAATCCCAATCGTTCCACCCAGTCCTAACCGACATCGTGATACCAAGCTTAATCTCCAGCGGGGGGAATGAGTCAGGATTAACAAAATTCGTGACCAGACTAAAAGCAAAGTTTGTATCAACGAAAGTGCCAGATATTATAAAACCTAGGCAGAACGGAATTTCAAACACGGTTGTCGTATTTGCTTTTATACATAGCTTAGTTTATGTTGAAAGACAAATAAAAAATATGGGTGATTATCACATCGTCCGGAACAGAGGGTACTCTCCATTCGTGATGGTACAGTATTCGGTCGGGAGTAAGAAAATGTTGACCCTTTACTTCGCCAAAGAATGGGGCCGCATAAGTCAATCTGGTTTGAGTGAGTTGTGGTACACTGTGTTTAAACGGAATATCATGTTGCGAAATAAGGCTAAACTAAAGGTACAAAATAAATATTTTGAGGCGGTACAACACGCATTTGGCGATATTCGGGTGCCCGTCACGTTTCATGAGGCTCAACCGATCTCAGTGAACTTGGTTTTGCCGGCCTTCGTACTGTGTACCATCATAATGGCAGCTGCATCCGTAGCATTCATGGCAGAAAGTGGAAATATCAAATTTTTCGGATTGTGGATTATCCAAGGATGGAAAAGTATTGGCAGAATTTGTAAAGTGCGAAAGTTGGTAGAAACAATTATACAAATATTTAAGTACAAAAAGCTTTCTCATACAGGAATTCCAATGTTGTTTGGAAGGTTAATATGTCAATCGTGTAAAACAAGTATAAAAAATTATACATACATTAGGATCCGAAAACATTTAACTACACACATTATGTAAATAGTAGATTGCACAAAATAATAAAATATTTAATTCTACACCAATTGATTGCTATTTAGGCAATTTTTTATTTTTTTAATTAAATTGTTTAGCGAAAATATAAATTAGCAAGAATAATTATCCTATACCGTGATTATTAAACACATTAGAATCGTAAGTACGGTCTTTTTTTACATTCGTACACTCTACGTAACACGGTAACGGTAAGTTATTACTATGTGGGGGCGGAGTATATGACTCTGGTAACGCATTGTAATTAATTAATTATTGAGAAGTAGACATTTTGTTACCAAACCGGTAATAACTTCGGTCGCGAAATTTGAAAATATTACCAGGTGCTAACTAATTTTCTACCACTCAATAATAAATCAATTACCATGCCCATGCGGTAGAGTCACATAGATACTCCGCCTGGTAATAACTTAGTTACCGGGTTTCATAGCTTAATTTGTTACCACCAATAACTTGATTGTCCACTTTACGCATAACCCCACCATGACTAACGGAGTAAGAACTGCGATGAAATTACTGCAAAATTTGATCTTTAATGGACTACATGCCATGACTTCTTTTCTAACCGATTTATTTTCCTTTTCCCGACTTATTATTCTCAAACGGACGAGAAACTTGGTCGATTTCTTATGCAATGAGCCAGGCAACGTGGTTAAGCACACGATTCCGAGATACGTCTCCAAGCTGAAGCTGGGAAATACGAGGTGGCCCAAATTTAAATTGTTGAATAGTTCACACTTTCGGATGTAAGAGACGGTAAGGAAGGTGGAAAGAATGTTTGACACGCAGAACAAAAGGAGCAAGGATGGGAGGAAATTGTGGCTAACGGTGTAATTCAGTTGGGCAGTAATTATCTTCAATTGTCTGAAATGCTGGAGGCTGATGGATGTCAGTGATAAATTAGAACCATGATTCCACCTACAAAATAAGGTTGTTAATAGAGGAAAAAATAATGCGGGATACATCGCAGGTCGGGATAGCGGGAAATTTTTGGAAACTAACTTGCGAACTGAAGCCCAGGAATTGCTGCTTTGATCTTCAGGGCAACCAATCGAGTAATTAATTACTCAAAATAATTAATTACTTTGACGCCCAAGTGAAGCCAAGTAATTAATTACTAACTACAATTACATAAAGTAATTACAAAAAGTCGAGCTACTACAGAATTACTTTATTTATTTTTTTAATAATTTTCTAATTAATTACTACAGCACTGAGCTAGATCCAGTACAATTTACAAGTTGGAAACTTGCAAGTTCGCTAATTAATTTTCAAGCCAAAAAATTTGCGAAATTTCAATTCTTAGAAAATATACTGACTTATGCTTATCTCAAATTTAATAAAAAGCTAACCTTGAAATTTTCCTTAAGTGCACCCACAAACTGAACACCGATCCAACAAAGAAATGAAATGCGAGCAATATGATTGCACAGCACAGTATGAAAATTATCCAAGTTTGAACCACAATCGCGACCAAATGCGAAGAAACGATGAGAATAAAGTGACCCACGTTTTCCCCAGGATGGGTCGGAATTTCTGGTAGAATCGAGCCTATGAATGGCGCTTGTTTTAAATCTGCTATATTAATTAGCGCTATTCCTATGGGAACGATGATTGGTAAAGCTGATCCAAGAAGAAGAATAATTAATTTAAGGACCTCTTCATAAATTTGGGTCTTTTTTGATTTTGCGCTATTTTTTGGTAGACTGTACTCGTAAGTAAGTAAGAGATTCAGTTGGGTTACAAAATCATGGCTTTTAAAAAATAAGCAAGAAATCGTTATGTGGATGTCGAGCGCAAGTCCAAATGTGAACAGTGTTGTTGAAGCCGATTTGCGGACCAGACATGGCAATCGCTACATGGCAATCATTGCATTGCAATTTTTACATTGCAATCCTTACAACACGTTATCATTACATAGCATTATCACTACATGGCTTTATTATTACATCGCACATTATTACATAGCATTATCATTACATAGCTTTATCTTTGCATAGCATATTCCTTTAAAATTAGTCAGCAAAAATTGTGCACGTATATAGCCAAGTCAAAATCCAATCAAAAATAAAAATAACAGTAAAATTAACTTTTTAGGTCATTGTCAATTAAGATTCAAGATTCAAAGACAGTACGCTATTTTTCGTAAGTACTCCATATGTGAAAAGTCATCTAATCCATACTTTTCAACCGTTTCTTGTAATTTTAGAGCTAGCAATTTATATTTATTCCCCGGAGTGGCCTCGGTTCCGGCTAAAAATTAATTCATTTTAAGTTCGGTCAATGTTTGTTGATCCTTGAGCCCTTGTATAAGTTTGAAAATAGTTGGATGGGATGCACCTAAAAGGGTAGCGAAGCCATGATGAAATCCCTCGCACGCATTTGTTGTCTTAGGAAGACCTTGTAAAACTGCGTGAAAGCAGTTCCACAATTTTATAGAGAATATAGGCTCCAACCAAACATTCCTGCCACGGTTCCATTGCCCGATCCAAGTGCGCTCAAAGTAGTTAATGAACTCGGCCAACATGATTTCATTCGTTGTGAAGAATTCATCTTCCATGAGAAGGTCAAACGACATAACCACATCGTCAGGGGGAACAAATGCTAAGCTCCTTAAGTGTTTCATCATAAGTGAGAAGTTCGAGTCATTGCTGTACAAATTGTGTATATCCGGGTGTTTTTGGATATTACGAAATATGCACTGCGAATAATGGAAAAAGCAACCATTTTTCTCTGCTTGTGGAAAGATGTCCTCCATTGCCCTTATTGAGGCTTTCTCATAGTCACCCAGTATTGTTGTTGGGTCCAAATTAGGCTGAAGTTTCTTGATTTCCGAAAGAAGACGAATATATGTGCCGGATGTTCGATTGGGAGTCAAGCAATAGATAAGAGGAAATGTGCTTTCTTTACCCATCCCGTGTAGTATGAAAAGTTGGTCAAAAAGAACGGGCGAAGACTGTAAAACGAGAATTCCAATTAAATGTTTGTCAATATAACGTAACAAAAAATGACCCTCACTTTGAAAGTTCCGTCGATAAGCCAAACATTGCACTGAGATAAAAATTCTAGGTTACGGGCAGTCGAGAAGATCATTATTCGATCCGCATGTGACCCACTATCAAATGCCAGGAAATTCTCGTTGTTTGAAGTTATTTTAAAGGAGTCAGGCAACTTGATGTCCTCCCTTTTGGAAGGAACGATAAGTGACCCAGTGGTCACGCCTCTGACCTTTCGTATACCTCGTTTTATATTATGTGCCAGGGGCATGTGACCTTGACTTGCAGCTGGCATTTGTCTAATTTCGTTGGCAATTAGTTGTGCTGGAGCAATGGAGGAACTGCTGGCTGCTTGTCGAATCTTGGTCATGACTTTTTTCACATCACAAGCAATAGGTTTTGGCTCATGATTATGTGACCCGACTTGCCGTAAAAGCTCTGGGTTACGTAAATTATCACTTGTGTGTAATCTGCACCGGCACTTGCACTTTTGGAACTGATCGCATCTCCAAGTCTTTTTTTTCTAAACCATCTCTTTCAAACTGGAAAATGTTTCCATTAAACGTAAGCAATGGCCTTCCTCTTCTCGATGCTAATACTTCGATGTTAGTTGCCATTATTGAGATTTTAGTACTTTAGTACTTCTTTAGTACTTCTTTTTGGCACGAAATTATATATATAGTTTGACTCATGGATTGGTTTTGTCAAAATACAATTCTTGTGGACCAGTGAAAACATGTGTAAGGAAGATGCTATGTAGCTGTCATGCTATGTAATGATAAAGCTATGCAAGGATATGCTTTGTAGTGATCATGCTATGTAGTGATAAAGCTATGTACTGATAAACCATGTAAGTCACCGCCATGCAAAAATTGCAATGTAAAGATTGCCATGTAAAGATTGCCATGTCTGGTCCGCGTACCGTTGAAGCCAAAACCGTAACATCCGAGGATTTTTTAACTTGCCAGAAGCCATTTAAAATTAGGAATATTCCATATCCGGTTAGAATAGATAGCTTGAATTTTGTGGAGCGATTTAATCTTTGACATGTTGCGAAGAAAGGGGGCGACGATTTTGTGTTTAAATGAATAGGAGGTTGGATCGCGGTGGACAGAAGGTTGAGGAGGAGTTGAATTAAATCTGTGATGGAAGCCAGAATCATGGTTGAGTATTTTTTTTATATCTGATAGTTTGAGGGCCAAGAAAGCTCTGAAAATATTCAGGAAGGTGCGTTGCCAATACGATTTATTGATCTTTCCACGAAAATGTGTGTAAATATGTATAGCTTGAAAAATTAACTTACTTTACAACATAAACGAACATGTTGCGAAAACTAATAGACGAAATTATTCACATCCTTGCAATTGATTTCTGTAGGATCGACATATTTTATTTATTCGTAGGCGTGGATTTATCTCTTGTTACGAGTATTTACTTATGTATAAATCGTATAAATATATTATTAATCGTATAAATGTTTAAAGAAGTATATTTAAAGAAGAAGTGTATTATATACCACTTTATTGCTTGCGGTACCCTGTTTGGCATCCGGTCAGTATTCGGCACATTAACTTTAGTAAGGTAGTCCAAAACTTGTCGTTTCGTGTTGGATATTGATTTTGGAAAATGTTGAAATCCGTGACGTTAGTAGATATTTTTAGTTAATTGATAGTCTATAAAATCTTAGTGTGGTAATGATATGGCAGAACTAAATAAATATATTATTATTTCAACCATGTTCTACAGCTAGACCGCATATGTAACGGGGACCTGTCTCCTTTTACCTTTCATTCATTTGGCTGCCATTCTTATCGGTATCCTTGGTGACGAAAAGCTGCCCGACTTGAGCATCGCTAGGAGATATTACTTTGGGTGTAAAATTCTTTTCGCGTTGGTTGAGTGCTACTACTGAAGTAAGCCTCCAAGATTATTTGCATTTATTTTTTTTATTTCTTCATTTTACCTAAGTTACACGAGTATTAAATTTGCATTAAAATAGTTTCTCCATGTTCAGCCCTTTGTCACCCATCCCGGTTAAAACAGTAATAAAAGTCGGGATACAAATCCAAACATCCAACTGGAAATACGAGATAATCAAAATTAATAAAAATATTAACTCAATAAAAAAGTAGTCAAAATTTTTAACCCACACTGTCCATTAATTAACTCCAAAATGTTGCAGTTCTAAAAACAATAAAGTATCATGTTTACTTAAATATGTACGTTTTTTAGTATCCTATGAATTTCCTACCCTGATAATCTTATTAATGGCACAGTCCATGTGCGGCATGTAAAAAGGAAATGCGGATGCTACCAACCACCGAACATCTTCCGAATTACTCTCCCACCATTCATCATTTAATTCAGATCCGCCATCACCATCAATAGTTCGAGTCACGTTTTTAAAGTTCCATGCAAAGCCGAATAAATCATTAAACCCGATTTAGTAATCTGTAATTGAAACTTTCCCGGTGAGCGGCATGTTCAGGGTGAACTTCAAGGACACGAATAGATCCTTCAATTCAGCCGAATATTCGTCCTCTCCGACATATCGGTACACAAACGGGATAAAAGGCGAGCCGTCGTACGAGTTCGAAACGAAATCTCCCACAAAAAATAACCGCGAGGCGTTGATCGATCCTTCAAAAATTAACTTGTCCCCGGAGAAATTAGGCGAAACGTTCGTCTCAGCCTCACGCAATCCATAGGCAGTTGTGTTTCTGAAATTTGAATTGATTTATGTGCATCTTTCCTATTTTATAAAAATCTGTTCGGAAATTTTATGTACTTCAAATAAAGGGCTACAGAAAAAAGGCAGTTTGTTTTTGCTATTTCTCGGGGTAGATTTTTGCGCGGCCTTTTGATGCCTTTTTGCCAGCTCATAAAGTTATTTGTTGACCAGATTGGCAGACAAGAGGCAGGCGGATGAGCCATAATTAGGTAGAAAGTTTCATCCATACAAATAAAATGCAGCTGCCACCAATAATGTCCCGATTTTGAGATGGCTTCTCGCCCAATTTCAGATGCGCATTGATTGTTTTATGTAAAGCCACAACGAGATTTCCAGGGTTTCCTATATAACAGTGTTAGGTATATGTATGCCTACGTAGATATGTATATGTAATTAGTTATGAATCTGTACATCACTCCAGCTTTAACTCTCTTCCAATAAATACTCTCCTCTGTCTCCTCTCACTGTGTACCACTTATTTATGTATAATCATATATACATAACAACAGCGTTACTTATTTATATGTATTTACTTTAACTTGTGTGAGTAAGTAATTGGTGTAAAACGTAGTGTTTACATACTTCGAATAAGCAAACGGGTGACAAAATGAGTTTTGTTGGTTTACATGACACATACACATTACGTTCGTACATATGTACAAATGTACATATGTAACTTGTTTAGTATGTACTGTACCTATATGTATGCATTGTTCAAGATGAACTTGAACAGCATGAAATTTGAGATGAAGCTTCCCATGCTTACGGCATTTTATCAATTGTTTTTAACGGCTTTGGATTCAATTTAAAGGGACCGTGGGAGCCCAACTAAATGAGAAAATGTCCATGGAAATGGTCAATTTTGATGTGGGTCTACATATGTATGTGTGTATGTATGTAATTTCAGTCAACCCTGGATGAAATCACGCCTATAGCATAATCACGATGGAAATATACTTTTCTGGTTCTCAGCTAGATGTGAATATATGGACATATGTATATTTATGCATTTCCATCTCAGAGATTGTACATATGTACCTACATACGAAATTTGACGAGCCACATCCACTTTGGGTGTGGTTTTTCCTAGTGGGTTTACAGTCAATCGCCCAGTCCACAATTGGGTGCTACGCGATTCTGCACCTTCTAAAAAAATTTCGTCAAAATCGGTTCATAAACAAAAAAGCTATTACAGGTCAAAGTTTGGCGAAAGGCAAAACACCCCTACTTTAGGGGCGTGGTTCTCCGAAGAGTGCAAACTTCAAACTCTGAAAATGGTTGTAAATGATGGCCCCCCTTGGTATGTACATATTCTGAAAAAATGGAGTTCTGAAATTTGCACATTTCCATGATACACGGCCGGGAACATTGAAAAAATTCATGTCGAAATTGTCCAAAGCAGGCGAAACTCAACTTGATATAGAGTAGTAAAAATCGATATCTAGCTTCAGCTAGGGCTAAGAAGTGCATCGCAAGTGAAATTGACCCATGTCTTAACGGAATGGCGTCGACTTGTCGAAATTTCGACATGATCCTATAAAGCTCAAATTTAAGACTAATACACCCCACCATTCAAAATAAATATTCTAGCACTTTTGGCAATGGTGAGGCGACAGCCAATTTCGCCGATTTTGAAATTTAAACATTTTAGGGTCGACATTCGAGTATTTATTTAAGTACACTCAACATTAGAAAATTTCACCATTTAAACACGCACCCCACCCTCTTCTCCAATTTTAACCCTGTCCTGTACAGTCCACGCGGTAAATAAAATGTAATAATTAGAAATTGGAACTCATATTGCCAACAATTTTATGCTTAAAAATTTTCGATATCTAAAAAATTGTTCTCGGAAATATCCTAAGCGCTTGGTTTATGGGTGACTCGAGCAAAACCGGGCAACATTGAACATTTCTCATTTTAATGGCATATACAACTCGATCGAACTATTTTGGATTCTAGTGAGTTTTTTGGTAAATTCATCTTTACAAATGGACTGAATTTAACGCAGACTAACGACTTCTTTGTGCAAATATTGCGCCTCAAATTAATTTGTTTCATTATGCCCCATTCTTAGCAAAATGGCAAAGGATCGTCAAATTTTTCTAGGATAAAAATGCATTCCCTGCCTTTTTGCTCACTGGTTTAAGTAGATATTAATAATTTGAAATTATGTATTTCATCCATCAAATACTTCAGCATTGCTCGATTTAATTAGAAATTTATTAGGAACTCACTGTGACGTAAAATCCACTTGATGGTAGAAAAATCTGAAATCAAGTGGAAACATGAAACGGAACGGGGGGAGGGTTATCCCCCCGTCCTCCGTTGCCTCCAATCCATCCAGTTTGAAGTCATGGAATGTTGCTGCGCCTGAATAAAATTGAAATTTATAGCAAGAATAATTCATTGGATAAATTATTATCATTATCATTATTTAACTGTTGTAGGAATAACTAATTCAAAATTATTTTGTATCACTTACTTCGTAATGTTTTCAGAAGCCCATTTTCACCACGTGATGCACCCATGACGAGGGCGAGGAGGATAAAAAACTTAATTGACATGTTGTACGATCAAGGCTCAAGATACGAATTGTGAGGCAAACGATCTTCCAATTTGTATTTAAACCAAACTCA